GCCTTTGCGTCTCTCCTTGATCTTTTGGTTACAAATCAATCTCCCTCTCTCTATCACTCTCTCCCTATTTATATTTATATAGAGTGGAACCCTTCTGCTGCATCCCCATTCCTAAGCCCACAGGTGCCTCCGACCGTGCCGCCAAGTCCTGGTTGTCACGTCTGAGCATACAGAGTTGCTGCTTGAAAGGAACGTGCTGGTACTGGTCACAGAAGGCAGGCTTGGAGCCACGCCCGCTCTTGACTTTGAATCTAGGCAGCACATGGCACTGTTGTCATTTAGCCACCTACCTCCCCGCCCCCACAAAAAGCCCAACCGCACACTGAAAAGAAAGACAATTAGGGGCTGTGATAGCACATGGGCATACTGGTGGGGCCTTCTCGGAGCACCGTCTAATAGAGCAAGGGGCTGGGAAACAGGGACTCTCAGGGCTGCACTGCTCTGAGCCCCGGAGAATGGGGCCGCATGTCTCCATGGGGGGCTGGAGCAGATTAGCTACCTTGGGACAAGTATCTCCCTTAGGTCCCCTGTCCAGCTCGGCCCCTGGCACTGGCAGGAGGTGGGAGGATAACATGACTAACTTCTCTTTTCTTTTCTAAAGCTTTGCGGTTCGCCTTTAACCCCAGAATCACATGTCAGCCAGCAAAGCTAGAATCTCCCACAAGCGGCGGGACTTTAAGTCCAGGCCATAAGACACAGGCTCTTCTGAACGACTGGCTCTCGTTTAGCATCGCTCCGTAGATCCTGAGCTGTTTTCAGTTCCAAAATAAGAAGATCCTGTTCTTAAAGGGTTTTTCATCCTATAGGATCTCAACGTGTTTTATATGGAGAGGAATCACTTCACCCACCCATGATCTGCAGCTGCCCCCGGAATGTCAGGGCTGAGCACCATGGCCCCGATCCTGCAAAGCACTTAAGCGGTGTTTAACTTGAAGCACAGGAGGAGACCAGGGGCTATTCATGTGCTTAACATTAAACGTGTGTCTAAGTGCGGGACTGGATCAGGGCCTTACCGCACACAGCAACACTGCGGAACAGTTCAGGACAGGCCGTGAAGAGGAATACTACCCCCAACTACAGCCGCCAGGGGATTTGGGGAGGCAGGAAGTAATGACCTGAGTGGGAACCTAGCCCTGGCATTGGCGCTCACGCGCATGCTGTCACGCGTTGCCAGGGAACGTTTAGGGATGGAGTTGAGTTTATAAATCTGGCCATTAGCTGAGCATGCAACCCCCAACCAGGCTTGGAAATGTTAGGGTTACCATTCGTCCGGATTCTCCCAGACATGTCCGGCTTTTTTGAGTTAAAAATAGCGTCCGGGGGGAATTTGTAAATGTCCGGACTTCCCCCCCCCCCCAAGCAGAGCGCGCGCGGCTGACAGGGCAGCCGGCCGGATCCTGCCACTCGCACGGGGCTCTGACAGCCAGAGCCCCTCCTCCGCTTTCCCCTCCTCTCCCCTGCAGCTTGAAATCACTCCCCTCCTCTCTCTCCCTCCCTGCATTTGCAGATCGCCGGCCAGCCGTTCGCATCGGGCCTCCGGCAGTCTGGAGCTCCTCCCCCTGCTCACCCTCCCCTGCTGCCCTGCGCGCCGCTCCGCAGCACTCTGAGCGGCACGGTAAGGGGGCCAGAGGGTCGGAGAAGGGGCAGGGAGGTTCTGGAGGGGGCAGTCAAGAGACAGGGAGCAGGGTTGGATGGGTCGGGAGTTCAGGGGGGGTCTGTCTGGGGGTGTGGATAAGGTTTTGGGCAGTCAGGGTACAGGTAGGGGGTAGGGTCCTAGGGGTGCAGTTAGGGTGGGGGGGTCTCAGGAGGGGGCAGTTAGGGGACAAGGAACAGGGAGGCTTAGGTAGAGGGTGGGGTTCTGGAGGGCAGTTAGGAGCAGGGGTCCCAGGAGGGGGCAGTCAGGGGACAAGGAGCAGGAGGGGGGTTGGGGGTTCTGAGGGGGGCAATCAGGGGGTGGGAAGTGGGAGGGAGTGGATGGGGGCGGGGCAGGGTGGGGGTGGGGCTAGAGCAGGGCTCCCCCCCCCAGTGTCCTCTTTTTTGATTGTGGAAATATGGTAACCCTAGGAAATGTCAGCTTACGTGGTTGGGCCCATTTTCCCCCTTACTCTCGGGGAGAAATCTCACCTCCGGTTCTGCACAGGCCTGAAGACACCAGGAGCACTTTGTGGGCACAACCCAGGCAGTTTATATGCAGCACAATTAATAGTATCCTGGGAATCTCTATGAAAAACAAATACCCACCACAGCCACAGGAATTGCTCTCAGCCCCCACCCCACCCCTCTCTCTGCCCAGCCCTTGCAAATGCTAATTCAATTCAGCACCTGAAGTGCAAGATATCATGAGCATATAGGGAACATCCTTACTAACAGGGTAGTTATGCTGTCATCAGCATGGCTGGCTGCCCTACAGATAGCATCAGGGACAGGCACTGGCTTATGTTGCTTTGAATGTTTCACCAAATCAGATCATATGTAAAATAAAAACACCCTGGGCTCTGTTGGCTACCCCCGATAGCTTGGCCACCCTCAGTATTGTAAGACAGGAAAAGCGGTTTGATACAGTTGAGGGCCAGGACTCCTGGGTTCTATTCCCAGCCCTACCACCACCTAGTATCCCTAAACAGGCCACTTCACCTTGTTTAGCTCCAGTTTAGCCATGTGTCATATGGCTCTGTGTCATATGGAACTGTCATGAGCTAGGTAGCACAGCTGGACAACATTTCAGCCACATTATCTTTGACTTTCAAAGTCTGACAAAAAATGAGAAAAAACATCAATGAGACATGCAACCCATGTGATGCATCATTAAACGACTACAACCCATAGTCGATGGGGACCACATCCTGAAAGAAATCTTTCCCAATCTCCCTCTTCTGGCCTTCAGACAACCTCTCCAAGCTCATCATCAGAAGCAAGCTCCCCAGAGATCATGACCCACCAACTCACCCTGCCAGAACAGATGTAAAACCTGTACACATATCTCCATTGCTACCATGATCAATAACCCCCCACAACACACCTTTCAACATCCATGGGTCCTACCCATGCCTATTACAACATGAGATGTACCTCATTCAGTGCAGAAAATGCCGCAATAACAACTATGTGGGTGAAACCAGGCAATCAATACGCTCTCAAATAAACTCACACAGAAAAATGAGAAAAGACAAGAACACTATATTACCCGTGGGCGAACACATTTGATAAAGCGATCACTCTGTAGCTGACCTCTCAGTCCTCATCCTCCAAGGAACCCTGAACAACACCTTCAAAACATGAGCCTGGGAGCTTAAATTCATAACTTCACAAGACACTAAAAATCATGGACTTAATAATGATACTGGATTTATGGCTTATTGCAACAATCTGTAACCCACTAACCTTCCCTTTTTGTCCTATGACTGCAGAGGTGTTAACAGGCCACTGTACCTTGTCTGGTCCCTTGAATAGGTGCTAACTACTTATGCTAAACAATCTGTTCAAGGCTGTATTTATCTGTGACCCTCTGAGCACCTTTCTCCGACCTGAAGAAGAGCTCTGTGTAGCTTGAAAGCTTGTCTCTCACCTTGTTTTCTAATATCCTGGAACCAACATGGCTACAATAACACTGCAAATATTGACAACATTTAAGTACAATATTTATATTTTATAATTATTTTATAATTACATGGTAAAAATGAGAAAGTCGGCAATTTGCCGGTAATGGTGTGCTGTGACACTTTTGTATTTTTATGTCTGATTTTGCAAGCAAGTCGTTTTTAAGTGAGGTGTAATTGGGGGTACGCAACACAAACCAGACTCCTGGAAGGGGTCCAGTAGTCTGGAAAGGTTGAGAGCCATTGTATTACAGCACCAGTTATGGTGGCTTGGCTGTTTAGCTCAAACAGTAGCAGCTCAGAAGGTCTCTGGTTCAGTCCCTAGTTTGTAGCCCAAGATAGGGGCTCCCACATAAAGAGGACTTGCTTGTGAGGAAAGTGGATGTCAGGCTGCTAGGGAGGGGGGAGAGAAAGAGAGAGCTGGAAAGTACCAGAGGAAGGAAGGTCTACTCCCTCCAGGAGGCTGTTGGCTTTTGGAGACCCTGGGACAGGGTGAGGGCTAAGGGAGGCTTTCAAAGCACATGCTGTATCTGGCTCCTGAGTGGCTGGAAGTAGGGAAGTGGGCAGGAGGGGAGACTGAAAAGGAATTCCGCTGAGTGGAAAGAATTAGCAAAGCACGTCCTACCCAAAGGGACTTGCATCTCACAGGTGACTGGCAGTGGACTAGGGAGCCCTACAGGCAGTTGATTTGCCAGCAGGTTGTCACTGTTACCATCTGAGGGCTGCGAGGTGGCCTCCATGAAATGAGTCAGTGGCTCCCAGAATGCAGACAACCCTAGCCCCACTGGCAGCCTTGCTGGCAATCTCCAGTCCAACTAAGAGCCATCTAGTGGCAAGCAGGGCATGAGCGTTCCTTTATCACACAAAGGATCAATGATAAATTTTCCCTCTCGCATGCCTTCCAGATGGTGATCTCAAAGCACTTTACAAGCCTGCACAACTCCCCTGATTGTGATTGGTTAAGCCCCTGACCTAAGCTATTAGAAAACTTCATACAACTTCCCCACCCCCAAAACCTAATAACGCACAATGGACTTCAAGAGCTCTGGGAAATTACCGATGTGCCCAGGCACCCAACATAAACCCCTAGAACTCTCAACAACAATACACCGCAGCAGCGATCTCCCACACCCAGCAAGGCAAGCCCCCTCCATCGGCCTGGAAGGGAAGGTGGCTGGAAGCAGGTGGAGTTCCCACCCTGGATGACAAATTGTCCCCTTCCTGATGTCTGGTTTTATTGGTACTTTAAATAACAACACAACATAAACTTCCACCTAAACTTTCACCTCCAGCGTGGCTGGTTCTGAGATTTCCCCCACAGGACCTCTTCAGACATTCGGGTGCCAGTCGGCCAGCCACAGAGTAAAGGCTTTCAAAGCATCCCAAACAACCTGGGAGGCTTACCTGCTTCTCAGACATGATGTACAGGTGCTCATGATCCATTGAAAAGACCATATCCCGTAATATGGGGCCGGTGTCCACCACCTGCACGATCTCGTACTCCAGGGCGCTATTGGTGGGGCCATCTACGCGGATCTGCAAAGCAAGGACAAATGGGGAGAGAGAACATGAGTGTCTTCCCTTCCTGGCACAGGGTTTGCAAGCCAATCAGTGGGCTATGAATTAGTAGCCCACTCCACCATGGAAACATAAACCACTCCAGGGGCAGCTGCCATCACAGCCCAAACATTGCTAGTCTTGTTCCTTGCATTCTCAGCCAAAGGCTAATACTAGGAGCCAACCTTTGTCCAGGACATCCTGGAGGGATGGATAATTTATGTAACAATCAGTGAGGATGGTCTTAGGTACATTTCACCTCACACAATGTTCCCAGCTGTGGGGCTTGCATGGAGGAGCAGAGGTAAAGGTAAAATAATGCCTTAGTAAGTTTCCTATTGGATGGAACATCTCCATGTGAACGGATATTTCTCCTTTAGCCAGCAGGTGGCACTACAGGAAATTGCAGACATTGGGTTTCATGGGATAATCTATCCACACACACGATGTGCCTCCATCCCTACACATCACCCAGGCCCCAAAGTGAGAGTACTGCACAGGAAAGGCAAGGACAGGGTTGCCCACGGACTCCTTCCCCGTGGCGTAGTCCCCACTGGCAAATGAGGCACTGAGATAAGGCCCTGTAACACCACAGGGCTGTCATTTCAACGGCACATTGTGATTCAGATCCAGCTGCAAGCCCGCACCTGCTTAGAAACTCCTCCAGCAAACACACACACACAGCCCGCAGCCCTCTCCCGATATGCACACACCTACGCCCACTACCTACACACACACACACACCCCATTCCCCATACACACACTCCTGCAACATAGGATCACAGTCAGAACCATGCACACGACAGTGCCCCTGCCTACCCAAAGCCCAGTCAGTGCTTATCCAAACTGGAGGGGAGCTGGGACTGCACAGATCATGGGCTCCCAGGCACAAGGTTTAGCTCCAGGGCACTCTCTATTTGGATGGGCTTGTCTTGCATGCCTAGGTGCCCATGTTGGGCCCATCACCATAGCATCGGTGACGGACACTGAAATGCCAGTGTCTTAAAAGGCTGAACGGAGACATAGCGACACGAGTCTTAACACAGAGACAGCATCCCGACCCAAATGTTATGATCTGACAATTTTATCTGGAGGGGGCGGGAGGTTTTAAAAGTGGCCACCTGGGGATGCAGATGGGTGAGGCTGGACGTGTGGGGCTGGATATTCGAGACCAAACCTCCCAAGTAGCAAAACCACAGTGACCCTGTAATAACAGCAGCTTCTTAACTCAACCAATCTGCTCTGTGTGTGTTCAGTGTCAGAGCTGTTGGCTTCAGTCCCTTCACAATGTTTTCTCTGCAGGCCCAAAAGAACTATGGGAGGGACACCTGCACTCCTTTCCTCCTGCTGCATCATCAGCGTAGAATTGCCCTCTGGACAAACCCAGGGGGTTGCCCAGGTCTCATCTAGGGCATGTCCTGCAAACCCTTTGTTACTGGTGATGATGGCTGGGAATGCCAGCAATGCCCCTCTGCCATGTACATTGGCCAAACTGGACAGTCTCGACGCAAAAGAATAAATGGACACAAATCTGACGTCAGGAATTATAACATTCAAAAACCAGTAGAACACTTTAATCTCTCTGGTCACTCAATAACAGACCTAAAAGTGGCAATTCTTCAACAACAAAACTTCAAAAACAGACTCCAACGTGAAGCTGCAGAACTGGAATTAATTTGCAAACTGGACACCATCCGATTAGGCCTGAATAAAGACTGGGAGTGGTTGGGTCATTACAAAACCTAAACTTAATTTCCCCACTACTAATTTCTCCCTACTGTTACTCACACCTTCTTGTCAACTGTCTGTAATGGGCCACTCTCTTAGCACTTCAAAAGTTATTTCTCCTCTCTTGGTATCCTGCTGTTAATTGATTTATCTCGTTAGACTGACCTCACACTTGGTAAAGCAACCCCCCGCCTTTCATGTATTTATACCTGCTCCTGTATTTTTCACGCCATGCATCTGATGAAGCGGGTTCTAGCCCACGAAAGCTTATGCCCAAATAACTTTGTTAGTCTCCAAGGTGCCACAAGGACTCCTCATTGTTTTTGCTGATACAGACTAACACGGCTACCCCTTTGAAACCTGGAAAGGAAAGAACTCCAATGGAGTTTGCAGGACTGTCAGGTTAGAAAAGGTGTTCAGATACCATTATTATTACTGTCAACATTTATATGGCCATAGGACCTAGAGGCCAACTAGGTGATGCCCCATGGTGCTGTACAAACACATTGAAAACGACAGCCCCGCCCCCAAAGAGCTGGCAGTCTGAAAGGGGGTGAGACACTCAAGCGGGTGAGACAAACAAGTGGGTCAGGAGGGGAGCAAAGGGGGCAACAAAAACAAGAGGAGGCATGCAATTCACTCACAGCAATGGGTCCCACGCAAGAAGCTAGACAGATGCTTAGAAAGGCAGGGAGCTTTTTCCTTGCCACCGAGCGCATTTGATATAGAAATTACGCATCACAAACATGGCATCCTATGATGCTAGTCTCCTCTCAGAGTAGAATATCACTTATGATCTATGGAGGTCACTGATTTTAGGAACATTGGAATTGCCATAATGGATCAAACCAACAGTCCATCTCCTTCAGTCTTCTGTCTCTGACATGGGCTAAGCAGATGCTTCCGAGGAAGGTGCAGGAAACCCCACAGTAGGCAGATGTGGGGTAATCTGCCCGCCACCCCCAAGAAGGTCTTAAACCCTGACGCAGGAGGTTTTAGATCCCTCCCAACATAACATTAACTACGATAACTCTGCATAGTCTTGCTATCCGGATAAATGTCCGATCCTTCTTTGAATATTATTCGTTTATTCTTGGCCTCAACGGCATCCGGTGGCAGTGAGTTCCACAGTCTAATTCCTCATTGTGTGAAAAAAGCATTTGCTTTTATGTTTTGAATTTGTTGCCATTTGATTTCACCGAATCTTCCATTCGCCAGTAGCCAAAAGCTATGGGACCTTTCGCCAGTCAAACCACCAAAGGGCTGGCACGCCTGAAAGCCCCAGCCACTGCTTCTCCCCTGCACGGTGACTCAGGAGGAGTAACGGGCTCTTCCTGGAAGGAGGGAAGGCAAAGCCCAAAGTGAATATGATAGTGGATGAATGAACAACGGCTTGGTGCTCTGCACTCGTGTTCTCAATTTGCTGCTGACTAAAGCAGGCCGAGGGCTACCAGGACTTAATGATCCAGGTCAGTCACTTTCCAGCTCCCACGCTCTCTCTCAACTGAGTACAGAACAGGCCTTCTTCCCCTCTTCCTGCTTTCTCCTCTCACCCTAGAGGAAACAACAGGACACTGGCTCTTGACAATACTGAGAAACCAACCAGTTTCCTTCCCTTACACACAGGCTGTGAGCTTGTTTCTTTTAACTCAATCTTTCAGCCAGGAAAATCAATCACTGAGTCATTGTGTATAATAGGTGGGAATGGAGCAGAGCCCTGCTGTACCTGAGAGAGAGGCACAAGGAGAGACAGACACAGGAACGAGGACATGAACAGAGAGTAGAGATGGTCGGGCCATACAAACTGAACTCAGTCCTCAGGCAGCAAAGAATTCTTACCCTCATTTGATAGATGGAGAAACTGAGGCACGGAGCAGTTAAAGGGCTTTCCCAAGATGAAATAGCAAGTCAGTAGGGCATCGGAGTCAGGAGTGCCTGGATCCCAGCCCTGTGCTCCACCCATCAGATCACACTCTGCCTTCAGGGAGAGCGAGAGAGTAGCGCTAACCATTGAGCAGACTGGAAGAGACTCAAGAATTTGCAGCCACTTGGTCACCTTGATGGATCTGGTGACAGAGTCACTCTCAATAACTCCTACAGGAGGTGGTCAGATCACAGACTCCTGCACTGAACACTGTCTGCTCCTTCTGTTATTTATTATTGTCTAGGGCCGGGGTTCTCACGACACATTTGTTGCTGGCCGCAGAGTGCAGCCACCAACTCTTGCTGGTGGCTGCTCTGAAAATTCTTCCAAGCTCGAGCCCTGCCACCCACAGGGGCTGAAGCCTAAGCCCTGCCGCCCCCGGGACGGTGGGTCGGGAACTCACCAGCCACCTGAAGAGTCCCAGGGTCCTCCAGTGCCATGCACACTGGCCCCCCGAGGAGGCTGTGCGGTGCAGGGCGCCGATCCCTGCCGGCAGCACCAGCAAACACCAAGGAGGCACATCCAGGAGCAAGAGCTGGGTGCTGCAGGGAGGGGCCGCTGCTTTCCTCCCCTGCCCCCCATCTCCGCCCAGGAGGCTGCAAAAAAATCCACCAGTGGCCACATTTTAGAAACCCTGGTCTAGAGGAATGACTTCATTGGCTCTCTTTCCTATTCACAGACAACTGGCTCCCTTACCTTCCCCTTGCACCCCATTCCCTGGCGGGAGCCCCTTTGCTAGAGGGAGGTCACATGGACTCACTTTTTTGCTGGTGCACAGTGGGGCCTCCCTGTGGACAAATGCAGGCACAGCATCCACAGGATTCTAGGGGGAGCCTTCCTCAGAGGGTGCCGTTCCTGTCGCTCAGCTTCATCCTCAAGCTCCAAGTTCTACTCGCTTGCGGGATCCTAAATAACCTCTTCCCCCTCCATGGGGTTTCCGTCCTTCTGACACTCGCCGCTCCCCATCTCGATCACTGGCCGGGCTAAACGAATTAGGAAACCCTATCAAGCAGCTACTTTGGTCATTGGTTTCCATCACTCTTAGCGGCTGCCGGGGTCAGGTGTGTGCACTGAGAGCTAAGCCAGCAATGACCACCTCCGGGCTCAGCCAGAGCCCTCATCCTGCGTTGGGCCCCATTAGAGAAGAAGCGCACCCAGGCGGAAGAGGCAGGCGGAGGAAACAGCAGGCTGGAGTTACCAATCCATGCAGACGCAGTGCGTGGTCCTCAGGGAGCTCCCCCTGTATGTATGGGGCAGGTAAACAATTGCCGCGGCCTTGCCCCGGGAAAGCAGCGATACTAGGGGAGAAGCAAGAACGTGATTTCAC